AGTATCTTCTGAGACTATTCAAGTCCTTGTCCCATTCTAAGCCCTAATGAAGAAGGAGTTTTGTTGCCCCTGAAACGCATAGGCAGTTTTTGTTTGATCAAATTGTGAATAATTAAAGTCATATTTGCACTCGTTCACTTCTCGGTTTGGTTTTACCCATCGTTTCTGTACTTTGAACTTGAGGAGGAAATGCGTACAGCAGTAGTAGGTGAGTCAAAGATGCTGTTTTTGGGGGTAAGTACATTACAGTGTAAGCTACATAGGGGAAGGAAGCGATGTGCAAGTGATATTCTGTACACAGAGCTATAGAATGTGGTAGAATTATATAAAATAATTGTTATCAATTTTTGACAGCTTAGGTACATTACATTGTAGCATTCATAGCAGTACATTATAGCAGCTAGAACCAATACTGTCCAGTATATCTGTACTCTAATCCCAGTGCTCATCACAGAGGTTGGATTTCTGTTCTCTCACTTCTGTTCGAGTTATATCAGTGATTGAACCCACAATTATTTGATGCCTGTGGCAATGGTGTAATGCATTCAAATGGCATTCAATTGTTGTTAACCTGTTTAGAGTAGCTGGCCATCTAATGTGCAGCATTTTTTATCACCCAACTATAGATAGATGAAATATTAATACATTGCTGACAGTGGGCTTTATTAAAGACTTGCATCTTTGTGATGTTATTGTGACCGTTATTAATTGTCGTATTAGGAATCACCACAGCCATTAATCATGAACTGCTTTACAATAATGTGTCTGCTTTCTGTTTGTCGGAAGATTAATCATCTATTATCTTTATATTGGTAATAGATTTATTATATGATGAAGCTGCCAGATACAGCACTTATTAGTGGCAATGTACTGTACACAGCTGATCCTGGCAGTATATATATAAATATATATATATTGTGGCATTGTGAGGCAATACCACGGTGTTAGGTGGCCTCAAAGTCACCCAGGGTTCTCAGCCAGAGGGGGCTGAGTGGCTCCAGGAAGACATTACTGCTACCAGGAGAGAACTGCCTTTTCAGTTCTTTCTGGGTTTTCTGGATCAAGGTTGGGATCCTGGTTTGCCTGTGCAGCTTGTGGCTAATCATGCATTTTTAGTACCTGATTGCAGCGCTGTACTATTTGTGCACCAGCGTAGGGGCATTTCTTACTCCCTCTAACCACCGACATTGGGGCATTATTTATTCCTTCTGACCACTGATGTAGGGGCATTTTTTACTCCAACTAAGCACGGACATACAGGCATTATTTATTCCTTCTGACCACTGACATAGGGGCATTTCTTACTCCAACTAAGCACGGACATACAGGCATTATTTATTCCTTCTGACCACTGACATAGGGGCATTTCTTACTCCAACTAAGCACGGACATACAGGCATTATTTATTCCTTCTGACCACTGACATAGGGACATTTCTTACTCCAACTAAGCACGGACATTGGGGCATTATGTATTCCTTCTGACCACTGATATAGGAGCATTTATTACTCCCACTAACCACCAACATCGAGGCAATATTTATTCTTTTTGACCACTGACGTTGGGGATTTATTACTCCAACTAGTAACTGACATAGGGACATTAACTATTCCTTCTGACCACTGATGTAGGGACATTTCTTGCTCCCACTAACCACCAACATAGGGGCATTATTTATTCCTTCTGATTACTGACCCAGGGGCATTTATTACTCCCACTAACCAACAACATCGAGGCATAAATTATTCCTTCCGACCACTGACGTGGGGACGTTTTTTTCATCTCACTGATCACCAACATAAGGGCATTTGTACTCCTACTGACTACAGTCTGGCTTACAAACAGTTTGAGAGACAGTGGACTGACCCTTTGTTTTAAAAGTTTGGAGACCCCTGGATTAGAGGTTTTAGTGTTAGGTTGGTGGTAGATTAAGTGTTAAGGGCTAGTTTTATGAGGTTAGGTTTAGTGTTAGGTAAAGGGTTAACAGTTAGCCCATAAAAGTAGATCAAAATTTTAATTGGTGTCCTTACGCTTAGAGCACTAACACTAAGCATCACCTTGCATCACTAGCAGGGTAATATACATTTTATTTACTCAGTAAATTCAAGGCATTTGAAAAATGTGTGTAATTTCTTCTATACATTAGTAAGCTTAGTAAGATGGATAGTTGGATTGGGGAGAGATTTTAAAATCACGTTTTTTGTGAGCTGCTGGAAATTATGACAAGAGTTTGGTGGTGAATCAATGATTGGCATTTAAATTAAGACACATGCACCAGAAAGATTCCCCTGTAGTGAATGGGGAAAGTCAGATTAACTGCCTTATACTGTAAATATGCCCCTTATTTATATGGTCAGTACAGCAGAAATCATGGAGAAGATGCTGCCACATTTATCAACTTACTGGAGGTATGAACCAAGTACCAGGCAGTTGGAGAAATCAGCAGTCCTTAACAATGCCCTGTATTTTGGTCCTACTTTGCCATTACATGTCACAGTTGTGTGCTTAAGGATGCATATACACAGACTTTAAGATGGCGGCTTGTCTTGCATTCCCAACGCTTTCTGAGTGTCCTATAAAACACTGTGCCTAAGTGCCTAGAGAAGTGTTCAATTCACTTTGCGACCATTAAAAATACATAATCTAGTTTGTCGAAAATCTCTTTAATAACATTAATGGATGAATATGTAAAAGTTTTAGGACTTTATCAGAATGATCATGACATAATGGGCAGAAATCCTTTCAGAACTAGTAGTCAGACCAGTTATATTATTTCTGGCTCCATGCTATGCTTTTCTGCAATTTGTACTTCCTTACTAAAAGCCTCATGGTTGTGAATCTCATTAGCAGTTTCTTCATGTATTGTACCTTTTGTAATGCTTTTGTTACGGGTTTTAGATGTTCTTTAATATAGATATAATCAATAGTGTTATGTTAGTCTCAGATATAATGCATAAAACACTGTTACATCTGTATACAACACTAACAAGTAGTGGGTAATAGAATGCCTGCTAGGAAATCTTTAATCAGAGACCTTTGCTGACCCTAAATTACCCCGTGTTTTGTACACTTAAGACATGATACACTATTCTGATGGCTGAGGATTGATTATGAGATCAGTATCGTTACTAATTCCTGCAAGGCTTTGAGCCCTTTGTGAGTCATCTGGTCAGCTCTAACCTTACTTACAGCAAGGTTTATATAAAACAACTATTAAAATACATATACAGATGTAAAGATTATAGGAGTGTGTCCAAATATGTAGGTACAGGAAGATCATTTACTACAAACAGCTCTGTTACTAGTGCAGCTGAACTGCATCGGAATCGGTTTCCTCTAAGCCTAAAATAGAATGCGTGCAAGGGGCGAACAAACCATTTGGGACCCTCTCTTGCTGTAATGCGAACCTGAACATTACAATGAGTTGGGCAGATAAGAAGCAGTCTTCATGAAGCCCTAACCATGCTTCCTATTTATTTTGTCCAAATGGTAACAGGCAGAGAGCACCTTCATCCATTCAGTCCATTTGGGTTAGAAGTGAATGAATTGTTCACTGTTGGACCTTAAGTGCATATTATGAACCATGAGAGAGTTCAGGATATCACAAAAGCTACTCTCCAGTTCTTTCTATCTATACACAGTGTATACGTGTTTGTGTGGGAGCAACTGATAAATGCAGAGCTCAAGAGGTATTGCACAGATTTCGATGACTTTGTCTGCCAACGGTCAAGGTATTGGGTGATTCATTCCATGGGGTTGAAACATTTGGCCTTATTAACCAAGCTTTTCTTGTTGTCCAGAGTAACCACTCAGATTCTACCTTCTATTATGTCATATTGAGCTAAGAAAATAAAGAATAGCTATTCTCTCAATACCTTACATAGTTACATAGTTGTTAAGGTTGAATAAAGACACAGGTCCATGGAGTTCAACCTATGTTTTTCTGTGTGTTTGATTTACTAAGATTACCCGGGTCTTGAATGATTCCATAGTTTCAGCTGAAACCACAGTCTGTGGAAGGAAGTTTCACAATTATGCAGCACTCACAGTAAAGAATCCCCTTCGCAGTTTGAGATTAAACATTTTCTCTTCCAGTTTCAGATGGTGGCCTCTTGTCAGGGCCGGCCTTAGGGGTGTGCGAGCAGTGCGGCCGCACAGGGCGCCATGGCAACAAGGGCGCCGTGCGGCCGACACAGCTCGTCCTGGGGGCGGCTTCTCTCCCCCTCACCGCTGGGCGCTGGCCATCCGATATGACAGCGCTCC